CAGCTGTTCGTGAAACTAGACACCACACCTGCCCCTTCCCCTGGGGGGAAAACAGACATTGACCATGGCACCCTTGTTCAGGACACCCGGGGGCCTTTCCTCGGAGCTCCTCCTGCTTGGCCTTTTAAGGGAATGGTAACACTGTGTCCCTCTTTCTTCCTGAAACCTTTCAGCCACAGTGACACTGTGCTAACTAGGTTCTGCTGCATCCTACAGAGCATCTCTGGGTGGGGTCCCTTGTCCTCCTTCCAAGCCCTATGCACACAAGACCTTGGATGACGAACGTCTACCTGTGCTGGAGCAGGAAGCAGGCGAGGACGGTATTTCCTGTCCATGAACCACACTTCTGGAGGACATCGACAGCAAACGTGCTGTGTGCAGATTTCCCAGGGTGTCTGTCCATATCAGCCTGAACTCTCCAGAGAAACAGAACGAGAGAGAGAACATGTTATCCATCTACACAGGGAGGGGGTTGTGGGACAGACAGAGAGAGGTACTGCAGTCGGTCCCCTGGGACCAGGAAAGCCCACAGTCTGAGCTCCAGTCCCAGAGCCAGCAGGTGGCTGACAATCTGCTGGGGGCAGAGCATGGAGACTGGCCCTTTGGTGAAGGTCCTGGAAGTTCTGGGGTCGGCCCTTGTCTGCTGGAACTTTGTGCACAAACCAGCACCTGTCCCAGCCCAGGACATGGTAGCATGCCACCAGCAAACACGTCCTTGGCCATAGGGGAGCCTCTCCTGCCAGGCCCATCAGTCAAGCCTGTCATCAACGATGCGACATCTCTTGAGGGCTTTGTATGCTTTGAAGTTTTAAATGTTGATGCTTTTCTTTCTTTTTTTTTTTTTTTTCCAAATTATTTTCCACTCAAAAGACCAAATCTCTGGGTAAAATATGCTGCCACCAGGTGGTGCTTAAGGCAGTCACGATATGTTTCACAAGTAAGGTTTGCTCCAGAAACTGGGTTTTGTCCAACACAGCACTAAACATTTTTTTCATTTATATATGAACGTATTCATTGTTGACTCCACATGTGACAAGTACAGTTTGAACAGCAGCCTCGAGCAGCATCTCCTGACTTTATTGAGGTCATGGATGTTTTTGAAAATTTGATAAATTTGGAAGGTTCTCCCCAGGAAATTGAACACAAATGCTTGTTCAAAAAATCTCATGTGCATGTTTGAGGAAGCACTGTACAGAATGAAAACGCTTGCTTTAAAAAACAGACCTCATCCGACGACAGCGACCAAGGGGCTCTGTCCACAGTGCCAGAACTGACCCTGTGCCAGTTCCGAGTCACAGCTGGGCCACCCTCATTCGGTCGAGGTTCACTGTGAGGGTGTACAGACAGGAGACACACGCGTGCAAACGTGTATGTGTAACATGAACACTGAATACTGACATCATGGACCTATTTATTCATGTAAAAGTTCTCTGC